TATCCAACCCAAACCTCACCTGGCAGAGCTTAAGACCATGCCCTCTTGTCCTACTGGTGGTTGCCCGGGAGGAGAGACCGACCACCCCCGGCTACAACCTCCTTTCATGTAGTTGTAGAGAGTGATGAGGTCACTCCTGATCCTTCTCTTCTCCAGGCTAAACTACCCCAGCTCCCTCAGCCTATCCTCGTAGGACTTGTGCTCAAGTCCCTTCACCAGCCTCGTTGCTCTTCTCTGGACCCTCTCCAGGATCTCAATATCCTTCCTGAACTGAGAGGCCCAGAATTGGACACAGCACTCCAGGTGTGGCCTCACCAGCACTGAGTACAGGGGAAGGATCACTTCCCTGCTCCTACTGTCACACTGTTCCTGATCCAGGCCAGGATGCCCTTGGCCTTCTTGGCCACCTGGGCACACTGCTGGCTCATGTTCAGCCTCCTGTCCATCCAAACTCCCAGGTCCCTTTCCGCCTGGCTGCTCTCCAGCCACTCTGTCCCAGCCTGTAGCGCTGCAGGGGGTTGTTGTGGCCAAAGTGCAGGACCTGACACTTGGCCTTGTTAAACCTCATCCCCTTGGAATCAGCCCAACTCTCCAGTCTGTCCAGGTCCCTCTGCAGAGCCCTCCTGCCTTCCAGCAGGTCGACACTCCCTCGCAGCTTGGTGTCATCTGCAAATTTGCTAATGGTGGACTCAATCTCCTCATCCACATCATCAGTAAAGATGTTAAACAGGACTGGGCCCAACATGGATCCCTGGGGGACACCACTGGTGACCAGCTACCAACTGGATGCAGCCCCGTTCACCAGCACTCTCTGAGCCCCCACCATCCAGCCAGTTCTTAACCCAGCACAGAGTGCCCCTGTCCAAGCCATGGACTGCCAGCTTTTCCAGGAATATGCTGTGGGAGACAGTGTCAAAGGCTTTGCTGAAGTCCAGATAGACACATCCACAGCCTTCCCCTCATCCACCAGGTGGATCACCTGATCATAAAAGGAGATCAGGTTGGTCAGACTGGACCTGCCCTTCCTGAACCCGTGCTGGCTGGCTCTGATCCCTTGTCCATCCTGTAGGTGCTGTGTGATTGCACTTAGGATGATCTGCTCCATAACCTTGCTAGGGACTGAGGTCAGGCTGACAGGCCTGGAGTTTCCTGAGTCCTCCTTGCAGCCCTTTTTGTGGATGGGTGTGACATTTGCCAACTTCCAATCATCTGGGACCTCCCCAACAGGACTGTTGGCAAAGGATGGAGAGTGGCTTGGTGAGCTCCTCCACCAGCTCCCTCATCACCCTTGGGCGGATCCCATCTGGTCCCATGGACTTGTGTGGATCCAGGTGGCAGCTTCTTATCCCTGTCTAGTCTCCAGAAGCCAGTTGTCCTCTTCGTAGGACTTGTGCTCAAGTCCCTTCACCAGCCTGGTTGCTCTTTTCCGGACCCCTCTCCAGGACCTGAAGTAGCTTAAGAAATAGCCCAAATAGCCCCAGAGACATCTGTAACTACTCACTAACATCAGTCATGGAAAGTGTCTTGGAATCAGACTAGATATGTGACGGTTTGGACTTGGCTCCCCGCCAAATGCCCGAAAGCCACGACAGCAGCCTCCTTTCAACCCCCTTTCTTCCCTTAAGTTAAAGGAAAAAGAAACAATAAAAATTAAAGAACCCAAAGTCAAGCTGCTTATATAAAAATATATCTATATTTACATAAATTTCAATTATGTACAGTTAAGATGCTATATACACAGTAAAAGGGGGTCCACGCCCCGAAGGGATAGGGAAAGGGGAAAAAAGGGGACGAAAGGGAATAAAAGGGACACCGAACAGGTATACTAGATCAAACTATACTAATAACTAACAAAACAGATCTCACCACGTCCCTTAGAACAACAGGATCGGCAGTCACAGCCAGCACTCTCCAAACCTCCACGTGGTAGGACAGTGGACTCTGCAGGCCTCAGCCTTAGATAAGCGAGACCAACGCAGGGACCCACTGTTCCCAAACCTCGCTGGAAGAGAAGAGAGCGAGGTCTCTAATCTCCGACTTATTTATACTCTGGTTTACGTAAAAACTGTATGGAATACTGGGTACTTGGCTACTTCCTTGGTTACAAACTGGTCACCAGGAAGGCCTAGACTAAAACCATCACAAGATATTAGGGAAAAAAAGAAACTTTACTGGGGGGATGGCGACCACAGGAACACGTCACCCGGAGCAGTTGTGGATGACCCATCCATGGAAGTGTTGAAGGCTGGGTTGGATGGGATGCCATATTTTTTAAAACTCAGAATCCCAGAAGACAAAAAAAGAATCCTAATAAACACAAAATTCTAATAAAAAAGGATATTTTTTCTACTTAAAACTGAACTCTAGATAGTTTAGCCTGTAAAAACAAATTATTTACAATATTATGACAATACACCTAGTTTCATCCCTTGTAACATTTATGCTGATGTTTCAGTTCTGAATAGCTTTCTTTGCTTCTTCCTCTGAATTTTGCGTAGTTTCTTTTTATCTTTAACAATGGGCTTTGACTCCGGTTTCACGAGCTGTATTTCCACTGGCTTTTCTTCAGCTGGAGTTTCAAAGACCACTTCCGTAGGATCTTCTTTTACAAGGACCTTGCTTGCTTTTTTCTTCTCCTTTTGCACTTCTTTCACATGCTGTTTCTCTCTAAACTTCGCTGCCACTGACAATCTTATCAGCCGTCGATGCTATAAAAACAAGAATTTAAATTTGAACATGTTTCAAATAAGCAATACAGAAAAAATCCAGTATTAAAGAAACACATGGTAATTTCTCTGCTTGGTGGTCAAAATCCTCAGTGCAATGCCATCTTTTCAGTGACATCACTTCTGCACACATTACATGCTTACAAATTACAAAAATTAGTCTGTTCTCTAATTATTATTAGTTGGGGCTCTTTTCTATGAAGGGTCTTGGAGGAGGGCATGTGTGATGCTCCTGCAGAGACACTGGTTTTCAAATTAGTTGCTGAATGAAAGAGAAAACAAAGAACTGCTTACCATATTTGGGGACTGGTAATGAGGATTTTCATACAGTGTTGGCCCTCCAAAACTACCTTGAAAGATTTTGATAAGGTTTAGAACAAAACGAGGCCCAATTTCTACCAGAGATGCATCTTCTTCTATTATCTGCAATAAAAAGAAGACTTCCTTAAATTCTCATGGATCAAATCCCAGTACAGGACCTTGTAGGCACCTTGCAATGGTGAATTTAAATCTGAGATATACTGCCCCTGAAGCTGATAGGCTACACCTGTATAAACCCAGT